CCAACTCTACTATTTATTTCTCTTGCAATTCAAAACAAAACAATAACACTACACGTTTTTTATTTTTCTAACAAAAATTAAAATTTAATTTCAACAATATGGTCCAAGGCAAATTCAAAAAGGCTAAGCTTCCAGCGAGTATCCAGAAGAAACAGAAACAAAAGAACAGTGCCGCTTTTACAAGGAGATCAAGTAATTCTTTTTTTTGTAAACATAAAGAACTGAATTGATTTCATATTTTTTGCTTACAGATGCACCAATTCAGGCCAAGAAATCCAAATTCAATGAACATCAAAAAATTAAGCAGGCAATTTCGAAAACCCTTAACAAATCCGTAGAAGAGGAGATGCGTTCACGTGCCGCCGAGGGACAACTAAAATTGAGTAAAGCCCAGGAAGCGGTTGCCAAACACAATAAAACCGTAGAGCCATCAACATAAAAGGGATGTGTATGTTGATTGTTATTATTGCGTCTTATGGATCTTTGTAGTTAATTTGTTATTGTAAAATATACATTTTCTATCGAAAGATTTCGAAAGTAATGTAAAATAAAATTAAGCTAATAGTTTTCTCTCCATACTATGGCAAAGTATATAATAATGAATTTGTACATCTGAAGGAATTGCTGGAATCACAGAAGATTAATAATTTTAACAAACCAACGTTATGGAACTTACAATTGCGCTATGGAACTTACAATTAGAAGCTCACAATAGTCTACTCCAATGTCATTCAAATAAGATGTGACAGACCTGATCTTGCAGAGCCATGAGGTAGATCCACATCGTAAACCTTGCGGTCAGATGGATTTTGAAGTTCGGCACACCGGATACTCAAACCATCGCAGTACACCTTATTGCATTTGCTTTGAATTCCCTGTTCGGAATAATTATATTGAAATGCTAAAAGTCGAAGATAGGAGATATGTAGTCACTTTCAATCAATTATTCATTCATTCACGTTTTCCAATCGTGTTAAATATACGACCATGCCAAGAGTGTTATGTTTACTAAGATCCCGTTACTTTAAACCTCGCAGCACATTCTGTTGTTTAGATGTGAAACCCGTTTCTTTAAACCTCACAGCACATTCTGTTGTTTAGATGTGAAACAATTCATCCAGTGGCTGGCGATTAAGAATTACTTCCAAAGCAGCTTCCTGTGTATTTCTGAAAGCCTCAACTATAAGGAGCTTTGCCCATCACTGCACATTATTTAGTTTGGACTAGAGAGTTCATTTGAACTTGCAAATAATACGGTTAGTATAGAGAGAACAACCGTAACGTCCATCTAAGGTGCGATCTCCAGTTTTAATCTACAGCTCTTACCTATGGAGTTCTTGCATGAGTAAAGTGGCACTAGAACTCTCGTAGTACTTTCCTCTATATTAATTTTCCATGTTTATTTGTGGTCAAAGACTGTTCCTAGGTATTTAGTTTCCAGTTAGAGCTGCATACAAGAAGAGCAGAGGGAATTTTTGGGATCTTACGTTTCCTAGTGAAGACCATTGACTTCGGCACAGTTTGATAAAATTACTAAAGCAACCTGCATTTTATCTGATAAGGTTGGCAGAAATTGGCCACTTATTATGAAAACAACAGATGATCAATCTTCACAAGGACTTCATTTATTCCGAGGAGCCAGAGCAAGGAAGAGAGAGAGCAGCTCTCTCATCATCAAAACAAACATGCTTTTTTGGTGGCCAAATCATTTCATTCCGTTCGTAATTGTGGTTGCTTAATCGACCAGAAAAAAATTCTTGGTCCTAAATATTAATCGATCATTACAGGAAAAATGTATGTGTCGCCTTTGGTCAGAGCGGAACCTGCATGGTATTTTTTATTGATCACCAAAGTTGATCATCAGAGACCATTGCAGAATAAGGTCTCTTTTTGTATACCCTTCAGTACACTGTGGTACAGGGTATTCTCAGGAGCCAAAGCACCACAAAACAAACATGCTTATTTGGTGGCCAAATCCTTTCATTCCGGTCGTAATTGTGGTCACTGAATCGACAGAAAAAAAATTTTGGTCCTAAATATTTATCGATCAGTTCGTCTTCGGACGGCTCAAAAGAAGGACGCGATTAAAAAAGTTTAAAAAGATTAATACGCCCACGGGCTTAAAAATAGAATTTTACAAAATGGCGATTTGTTAAGTCGTCGCTTAATACGGATGCATGTAAATTTTGATTGATCACCAAAGACCGTTGCAGAATCAGGTCTCTATTTTATACCCTTCACTACAGGGTAGTAAGCCCTTTGAATATATTTGTAACAGGCAAAAGGAAACGAAAGAGACCCATGTTTTCTTTTTAAAATATCCATAGAATTACTTTCTGAGTCTATTAATGATTGTCCGTTTGACAGATTAAGATTTTGGGTTCAGATTTAGCTCCGATATATTTGTTCATCCGATTTTATATAAATTGTGCACTAAACTTCCTATATATACTTTCGACCGATTTTATTTTTATGGACCAAAGTCTCCATATTTCTTTCAATTTACACGAAATTGTGCATAGAGTATTTAATTGAGCCATGAATAATGTGTGATAAGATTCGTTGAAACCGGTTCAGATTTAGATATAGGCTCCCATATATGATCTTCCGATTTTATGTAAATAGTGCACTAAACTCCCAATGTTTGTCCTATTAAAACGAAATTTGGAATACCATACTATAATATAATATACTATAGTAAATGGTGTACTAAACACCAATATTTTGTCCGATCAGACGAAATTTGGATTATCGAACTGAATCGAGTCTAAATTTATTTTCAGGTTCAGATTTAGAATTGGCTCCTATATACTCGTTCGTCCGATTTTCTGTAAAATGGTGCACATGTCAATACGTTTGTTCGATTTCATATAACGACTCTATTCAACCGAATTGACATGAAATCTTGCATATATCAGAATAGCATGTATTTAAATAAATTAAAGTAGGTTTATATATCTATATAGATCACTAATTTAATTTTGTCCGATTTCAAATCAGTGCTGCGTTTATTCTATCGACAGTTTATTGTACATATACGACAGAAATTATTAGATAAGGATGTTTATCGTCATATATCTTACTGCCACTAAGAATTCAGCAGTCTATGCGGCGATAAAAAAGAGACGAAAACGATCGAACATCAAATGTTTGCTAGATATGAGATAAACACTCTAACCTTTTCAACCACAAATGATTAAGAGAGGTCTATCTTGGCCATAAACTCTCCGCCATAAGATGGAGTGAATATTAAATTGTTTGAGACCCCATGAATTATATATATTCCTGATCCGAATAAACCTCAATGTGGATTAAACAACGTCCGTCTGTTAAAATCACCATATTCGTATAGCGCCATATAACGCTACCACCCAATATTCGGTACCTTGAGGATTTTGTGCTTGAGACCCCATGGATTATATATATTCTTGATCCGAATAAATCTCAATGTGGATTAAACAACGTCCGTCTGTTGAAATCACTATATATCTCAAAATTGGATGTATCACTTTTTCGTATAGCGCCATATAACGCTACCATCCAATATTCGGTACCTTGAGGATTTTGTGCACGTTTTACGGTATGGTATTTTATTCCAATTTTAAAACCTAAATTTGAATATTTCATTTCCTGTGGACATAACAAAACCAATTTATAAAAGTCCCGTTGGATTTTAAGTATATTCAATGTCCACCTCATGGAGGACGGTATAAAAAGTTCGGCCGGACAAAACTTAAATACTTTTTCACTTATATTTGAAATTATCAATGACTGTTGTTATAATTCAGAATATACGTTTTATCGTCATACGTTATACGCTATCAGCTATATTTAAGCCAAACCTTTGATATTACTTTTCCTGCTATTTTGTTAAAAAGAGATAGCAAAGAACAAAGCAATTACCAACTACAAAAGGTATGTATTGACAACAGTTAGAGGAAAAGAGACAACAATAGTGCGATTTCAATTCATCGATTAGTAATAACAAGAAAATCAAATTGCTAAATACCAAATACTCAGTGCGGCTAAGTTACATGCAACGCTTTTCTGGCGTCTCAGCTGATTAACCATTTATTAAATAAATGAATAAAAAATCACTATTTAATAAAAATAACAGTGTAATTGTAATTAATTAATACTACTCGAACACTATATACTATATTGTTAGTATGCAATTTTGTTTTCTTACCATTTTATCTCAATTCTAATCCACATCAACGTTCCCACGCTCCAAACGCTTGCCGTGTACCCATTCGGCAGTTTCTCTACCGAATACTTTATAATCAATTTGTTAGTTTCCCCAAAATATTAGCACTGCTGATGGAAATAAAAAAAGTTACTGAAGGTTAACGTGTAGAATTATTTATTTATATGAATTGCCGTATATACATATATAGAAGAATACCAGGAGCCCCTGATTATTGACATTTTTTGCATAAACTCAACGGATTTTTATAGGTTTGTTGAATGAGATATTGATACTCCCCCTCATTAGCCTACCAATCAATGATATTGACAACACTTTTCTTAACTGTGAAATAGTTGTGTCACCACAAACATATTCATCGTCGTCGTAGTCGTCGTTGTTCGAGAGGGTCCGAGAAAATCAGTTTTTTGTAATTCAACGAGATCGAGCGATTTGGGAAAAACTTTTCTTCGTTGTGGAAGAGAGAAATCCCAAGACAAGTACAACAATCCGATCAAAAGGAAAACACACATCTTTGCGAATTTAGCGAAACGAGCTCTGGAAAAGGAGAAGAAAAAATCGAAAGAAGAAGAAGACTTTTTTAGAGTAAGAAGAAAACTGTTGATTGATTGCTGGCTTGCTTGCTTTTGTGGCAGAGTAACCAATCAACCATCAATTCATCCATTCGTTGTCGCCGTCGTCGTCGTTGTCGCCCAAAGCAGCAACAACAACAACCACAGCAAAAGCAACGTCAGTAACTCTTTCGCTCTTTCATAGACTTTCATCCCGAGAAGTTGTGCTGCCCGCCCTACTTCCTGGAAAATTTCGACTATGAATAATCTAAACAACACTGATGAGATTGTGGAGTGCCCACTGTGCATGGAGCCATTGGAGGTTGATGATCTCAACTTCTTTCCCTGCACTTGTGGCTATCAAATATGCAGATTCTGCTGGCACAGAATACGTACCGATGAAAATCAGCTGTGTCCCGCATGCCGCAAGGAATACCCCGAGAATCCAGCTGATTTCAAGCCCCTCAGCCAGGAGGAAATGGTTGCCTTTAAATTCCAAAAACGCCAACGCGACCAGAAGCGCAAGCAGGAGATCACCGAAAATCGCAAACATCTGGCCAATGTGCGTGTCGTGCAAAAGAACTTGGTATTTGTGGTGGGCTTGCCACCCAGGCTGGCGGATGCTGAGATCCTCAAGAAGCACGAGTATTTCGGCAAATATGGTAAGATTCATAAAGTAGTTATTAATCCTAGCACAACGTATGCGGGCGTGCAGGGTCCCTCGGCGTCAGCCTATGTGACTTATGTGAACAATCCGGATGCTCTGAGGGCCATACAGAGCGTCAATAACATAATGATCGATGGCCGTCTGATAAAGACTAGTTTGGGCACCACCAAGTACTGTAGCCATTTCATGAAGAATCAACAATGCCCCAAGAGCGATTGTATGTATCTACATGAATTGGGCGATCCGGAAGCTAGCTTTACCAAGGAGGAAATGCACCAGGGTAAACACCAGGACTATGAGAAACGTCTGCATGAAGCGTTAATAGCTACAACGGGCAGTAATTCGACATCAAGTGGGGGTTTGGTATCGACAACAACAACATCTTCATCTGCATCGTCCGCTGGCATACTGAGTGGCAATAGTAAATCAACGGATTCTGGTTACAAATCGAGTGGCATTGTGACCAGTAAATCGGCCAATGCCATTAACAATGGCCACGACAGTTCGGGAGGTGGTACAACCGCCGCAGTGGTCAATGGCGGAGGCCAACATTCAACAGCGGAGGCGTGGCCCAGTTTATCAGTATCACCGGTTAGTAAAAAGGAGAATGTTAATCCGGCGAATGGGGGTCCCAAAAGTAAAAAAGAACGACAAAAACAAGAAAAGGCAAAACCGGAAAAGAATGGCAAAACGAAAAACAAAAATTCCAATTCAAACACCACCTCCAACAATAACACCAACAACAACCACAACAGTAATAACAGCAATAATACAAATCCTGCAAGCAAAGATTCCGTGGAGGCAACACACAGCAACAACAACAAATCAGCAGCAGCAACGGCCGGGGCGGATAGTGACAAGACAAGAACAACAGACAAAGAACGGGATCGAAAACAACAACAACAAAGCCACAGTGCATCCAATAATTCCCAAAATCAAAGAAAGGAAGAACAGCAGCAAACAAGAAGCGAAACAGTTGAGACCAGCAAAACCAACTCCAAAACAAAGACCAACAGCCAGCAGGACAGTAACTGCAAAAGTCAGGCTGCAACCAGCGAACGAGACAAATCTAAAAATGAATGCAAACAGGAAGTTGCAGCAACAACAACAGCAGCAGCACCCACATCAACAACAACCTCAACAACAGAAAACACGATGTACGTCTCTAATAGCAGTAACAGCAGCCTTAGTAGTAGTAGCAGCAGCAGCAGTAGTAGTAGCACTAGCAATAGCAGCAATAGCAGTACCGCCAGCAACGGAAACCTAAGTTCGGAAACAGCCACACCTCAACAAATACAGAAATCCAATTCCATTGAGGAGTCTTGCAATACCAACAGCAGCAGCAGCACAACAACATCAGCGACATCAACTGCAACGTCACCATCCGCAACCACACAGATCACAGCAACAACAACAGACTCCTCAGCAGAAAAATCTGCTACATGTCCATTCACAGAAAGCATTGAGCGCACAGCTGCCAATATGCCCGATAACTTTTCCGTTTTTGGCAATAAAAACAAATCGCCCATGTATAATGGTATAAATTCCTTAATAGACAATGCTGAAGGTGATAAACCCAAGAATTCCATAGATAATACACAGCCTGTGACACCTCCCACAACAACTGTTGCCGCCGATATGCCCAAGCTGAGCCTATTCGATGACAGCAGCTTCTTTAGTTTGAATTCTGGCAAAATGCCCCAGCTGCCTCCGCTACAACAACAACAGCTGCAACAACAACACACCGCTTCATTATTAAACAACACCGCCAAGCTACTGGAAGATCCCCTGTTGACGGGTCGCACCATGCCCAATTTACCCGACCTCATCAATGGTATTGATGGCTATCAGAGTAATTTGAATTGCAGCAATGATTGGGAGGATGCCTTCAAGAGTGTCATACTTAAGACAAACAAACAAATGGAAGAGAAAATGCAACAACACCAACAGTTCCAACAGCACCTCAACAGTCATCTGCACCTCAAGACACAGGAAGATTTACGTAAATTACAGGAATTACAGAAGCGCAACATTCTCCTGAATTCGATGCGTGCGTCACAGTTGGGTGGACCACTGGGTCCCTTGGGAGCAGATCTGGGACGTCATTCGCACTTTATGGCCCAACAAAATCCCTTGTTGCAACACCAACCAAATCTGTCCACGGAAAATCTTTTGCAAAATTCAGCGCAGCTGCAATTCGAAACAAATATGTCGAAATTCTTCGATTTTCACAAGCATCAACAGCAACAGAAACTGCAACATTATGGCGGAGGTATTGGTGGCCCTGCAGCTGGAGGTTTGGGATCGCTTAGTGACAATTTCCACATGATGTCCTTATTGGAAAATAAACCATTAAATTCACAGCTTTTGGATCCAAATTCTTTACTGAACTCACATCTGCAACAACAGCAACAGAAACAAAAACAACAACAACAACTCTATGGTAAAATGGATCCCATGATGCACCACCAACAACAGCTGCAGCAGCAACAACAGCAACAGGCCCTTAATAAAAATCTCTCCAACATGCACGGGAATCAGAATCATCTGAAATCACAATATCTACAGAATTCCAATGCCGATGATGACTTGGGCTTTGATCCGTTCATTGAAACACAGAAGGCTTTGGCCGAACTAATTGAGAACGAGGAGGAACAGCAGCAACTGCAACAGCACAATCATGTGCCCACGTCCCACTCCAATCCAATTGGTCCACCCAAACAGCCACAGACACAGCCAACGCCTCCACATCAAGATCCCATGTTGGAATATATGCAAAGATTACGCATGCCTCCGCCTGGCTTTGGCCACCACAATAGCAATATGCCCGGCTATGGGGGCATGGATCCACGCATGCACAGCAATCAGAATAGTAAAATGTTGCCTTTTATGAATTTGCCTGGAACAAATAATGTCGGGGCTGGTAATCCTCCACATATGGCACCACAGCAACAACAACCAGCACATCCCTTACAGATGCCCAATCCCAATGTATGGAGCTCACACTTGGGCAATATGCAACAACAACAGCAACCGGGTATGGGGGGCTTACGTCACGATAACCTTGGCCAACCACAAAATATGGCAAATCAAAAGCCCGGCTATAGCAGTGGTGGCGGTGGCAGCGATTGGACCGCCATGGATCCAGCCATACTATCTTTTAGACAATTCTCTTTTCCCCAACAGCAACAACAGAATCAAATGGGTCCCCCACAAATGCCACCACCACCACCACAACAGCAGCAACAACAGCCACCACCACAGGATATGTTCTTGCAACATCTTAGCCAACAAGCAGCTGCAGGATTTGGCTTAGGTGGCGGACCACCAGGTGGCAACGGACAAATGCCAAATGGTCAGCATCATAATTCACAGGGTCATCTGAATGTCGACGCCAATGTCCAAGGTATGCTGGAATTTCTAAAAACTCATCAATTTGTTTAATTTAGAAATCAACCCACACACACACACACAAACATACAAACGATATATCAAAACAATAAAGAAGCGGCGGGAGGATACAAAATGTAATCATGATGATGATAATGAAGAAGATGAAGAACGGCTTGTTTTATTTTAATCTCTATTATATAAATATATTTAATCAAACCCCCCAAACAAAAAACACACACACTCTTTAATTGAATTATCGAAGCGAAATTAACTTTTTTGTCAATATTATGTAAAACTAATTAATCAATTTAAATAAAATTATTCAACAACAAAAAATATAAAAGAAGGAATTTTGTTATTAAAGACTTGAGTATGTCGTGTCTAGATTATTCTGGAGTGTTTGGGTTACTGCAAAGACTGGATGGGATGCTGCAAAATAATTTTTATTTAAAATTACTTTCTTCAGTTGAGATAGGGAAATAGCAAGATATATCTAATGTATCAATATATGCATTAACTGTAACTAAAATAAAAGGTTTAGGTTTAAATGTTTCGTGACCTTCTTTAAAAAACAACCCTTTGAAGTTCGTATATTGTCTTAGCAGGACTACCAAGTCCAGGTATACTTAAAATTTATTACTTATATATTTCAAATTGAACATAGGTTTAATACTTTACTCTGGTCTTTGCGTTATCACTGGTACTACATAACTGACAACAGAGATGTATGATCAGTGGGGTGTTCAACATTGAAATTGATCGATTCACATATGTAAGCTTCAGTAGCTGATTTATATTTTGCGATTTGTATTTACCGAAATTTCAGTACTCAGTTGGTATAAAAAACAGAGGGTTAATGTAGATACCAATAAAATTCTCATTGACTTGAGTAACGAAACGTCTTTATACATCCACCATAAGATAATTCCTATTACAATACCTTCAAATATTTGTCGGAGATCCCATTGAATATATTGAACAGAGAGAAATTCGACTTTCATTTGTCTTTTGAAATCAAGATAGAATATATTTCAGACTGGTAAATTGTCGGTCCAGTATATCCTATCCACAAAATGTCCAATAAGTGCTATGTTTCAACATAGCCTCCATAAAATTTCCCCGACCTATTTTAGATCGTACGCGCAATTCCTAATTCCAGTTAACGTCGTTGAAGGTTGCCTTGTAAAAATGTTTAATATAGGTACATATTTTGACATAGCTCTCTAAAGTTTCCGTCCCATTTACCGATATTTTGAAGCAACTATAATTAAGAATTTCGAGTTATTGAAGGTTAGAAAACTTCATCCATAGAATTCAATGTAGGTGTATGTTTTGACATTACCACCCAACACAATATTGTGGAGTGTATAATTATCTTTCTGTTTGCCACACCTGCACTATTCACCGGAGACCCCACAAAGTATATATATTCTTCATCGGAATAAAATTCTATGTTTATTTACGAATGTCCGTCTGTTTATCCGAGTGTTGAATCACGATAGAGATCGCAGTATTTAAGACATAGCTCTGAAATTTTCCACAGACATTGCTAGTACTCATAGGATGTTTGGTATTGCATATGGGATATATCGGTCCACGTTTTGGTGTAGCCCCCATATAACAGTACCAGTACAGTATAACACATCTCCGCCCTAAAAATTATAAATATTGACCCAAGTTTCAGGATAGCCTCCATATGGTACCCCCAATAATCGGTATTTTGGTCACTTTTTTCAACTGCATTGGCTGTAATGTGATATTTTTTATACTCATTGGGTGTCAAATATCACTAGCGAAAATGATCAATATCGATTCCCATTTTTGTATAGCGCCATATAACTGCACACTACTATTCGGTATATTGAAAATCTAAAACATATTTTCCCTCGTCTTTCTTCTCGGTATGTTCAAGGTCCTAATATAGTTCTTTCCTAGGAGACCCCATTATTTTAAGATGTGGTGGAGGTTATAAAAAGTTCTGCCCGGCCGAACTTAACATCGTTTCTACTTGATTTTATACTATAGTGTGGTATAGTATAAGAATAAACTTCTTACATCATTCAGGGGTCCTTATTAAATCTGTGCAACGAAGACTGTAATGGTACTCTTCACTAGGGAACGCAAGCTCCCAAACATCCGATTGCCATCCTTGGGTGGAGTTATATTAGCCCTTTGTTTAGAAGCAAAATACCTCGGTACAGTCCTTGACCGGAAGCTAACGTGGAAAAGGAATCACACTACAGTTTGTGTCCTCCAACCACTGAATTTTCTGTTTAAATTTCAGAGAGGAGTAAACTATGCAAAGAGGTCAGAGACCATACACATCCTCTTATAACGACCATACTCCCTCTTATAACGACATTAACGATATTAGAGCAGAGTTTCCTAGTAGGGAATCCTGGACAAGTGACTCCTTACCGGTCTGTCAATATTTACAAATGGTTGGAAAACGGAGGAAGGTACTGGTACAGGCGTTTACTGCAATGAACTAGAACTCATATAAAATTAACGATCTTTGCAGCGTGTTCCAGGCACGAAAGCGGCTGAGATAGTACAAAAAAATTACTGCCGACAACATAGAACCGGTGACGATATGTGTCGATAGTAAGACACTCAAGTCGTATACTATTAACTCAAAAGCGGTTTGTGACTGCAAGGATGTTCTTCGTGATGTACGACACATAGTTAAATTATGTTGGGTTCCAGGACACAGTGACATACAAGGGAATAAGATAGCCGACGAGCTTGATCGAGTTGGTTCGCAGTCGTCAAATCTACCGATTGAGACTACTTTATTTTCAAAATCCGTATGAACTACTGCGAGGTAGTCGGAAACAGATGGTCAACAGAACCTGGATGCACGATTTCGAAAACCATCTGGCTAGAATTCTCTCGCCGTAGAACTTCTTTGCAGCCGTCTCATAGTAAGAGGAATATAGAAATCGTTGTGGGACAGGTCACTGCAGGATTATATCTCTCATTTCCAAATGGGACATTAACGGAGTGGATTATTGCGGAATAGACCCCAAGAAGATACTAAGTTTTGTAAAGATTTTGACATGGCGAACCAACCAATTTTCTACTCTTTAAACTTACTCTATCGCTCCTTTTTCCACTTGCCTTTAATCCTTTCTATTCAGATATCCTGGATGAGTACAATGGACAAATGTCTCTGTATGAACGGCTGTAAATTAACCTAACCTACTGTGGTACAGGGTATTATATCTTTGTCTATATGTTTGTAACAGGCGAATGCATTCAAGATAGATCTGTAGTTACTTTCGATAATATTCATAGAATTACTTTTCTATCAGATTGTGATGAAATTTGGCACACGAACCCAATTACTAAAAATTTGTCGAATTAGCTGATATTTATGTCCATTTTCCTGTAAATGGTGCACCAAACTCTCAAAATATGTACCATTGCGACGAGATTTAGTATAGCGTATCGTTTTGACTTTAAATTTTGGTTGAAATCGATTCGCATTTAGATATATCTCCCATATATATTTTCATCCGATTTCATATAAATGGAAAGTAGTTCTTGAAATAGGTTCAGATTTATATATAAGTTCCTCATATATTTTCAAACGATTTCATGTAAATGGTGCACAAAATACTCAACGTTTCTCCGATTGACACTAAACATTGCATAGTGTACCGAATTAATTTTGTTATTGCAAAACAGTCATGCGTAATCCCAATTCACCCAATCGATTCGATCCTAACGGTCCAGCTTATGTCAAGTTTGCTTTGAATTGGTTCTAAGTCTGTCCGATTGAGTCTGTAAAGTATTTTATTTTTGTATGGATATAGTTCCCACATCAATATGATTCCTAAAAACACCTCGACTTAGGTCATTTCTAAACCGATTTTTTATACCACACTGTGGTACAGGGTATTATGTCTTTGTGCATATGTTTGTAACAGGCAAAAGGAAACAAGATAGACACATGGTTCCTTTTGAGAATATGCATGGAATAACTTTCTAAGTCTATTTATACATGTCCTCCCGTCCGTCTGTCCATGTTAAATTGTAAATAAAGTACAGGTCGCATTTAAGATCCGAATTAGATGAAATTTGGCATGCTTCACTTATTTGGCCCAAGGACAAACCCTATTGAAATTGGGAAAAATCGGTTCAGATTTAAATATACCTCCCATATACTTTTTTTCATCCGATTTAAGGTAAATGGTGGTACACCATATATCTTTCGATTTGCACGAAATTTGGTATAGCGTACTGAATAAAGTCTAGAATGATGTGTTTTAAGTTTCGTGAAAATCGGTTCCGATTTAGATATAGCCCTATATATATTTCGTCCGATTTAATGTAAATGGTGCACCAAAGTCCGAATATATTTTTCGATTTGCACGAAATTTGGCATAACGTACTGAATTAAGTCTAGAATGATTGGTGCTAAGTTTCGTAAAGATCCGTTAAGATTTAGATATAGCCCCCTTATATATTTTCGTCCAATTTTTCATAAATGGTGCACTAAACTCGTAATGTTTGTCCGATTAACAAGTAATTTTGCACAACGCACAGTGGGTTAGAGTACCATGTTTTCTTGGATCAAATCAGGGAAGCTATGTTAGAATAATTTTTCTTTATTTTTCAGTTAATACCATTAAAATAAGTTAAAAAAATGTTTTCTAAGTATATTTGAGTATAATTTTATTAAGTAGTACCAAATATCAGTGTAGGTATATAGTGCAAGGAGTACAATATGATAACTTAAACATTGAATTTTATACATCTTAAAGTTAATCATCCACATTGTCATCATCCGCAGCCGGGGATGGTCCGTATGACGAATTTTCAGGATTTCGACTGTCAAAAAGGTGTAAACGTCGAAAACGACATATACCTGTATAAAATGTAGTAAACGTCATTTATTTCAATATTATCACCATATACAGTCATTTTCAAGAACATATATTATTTTTACTGTATATCTGGCTATTCTTTACTAGAACTGGTAAAAAATTCCGATTTTTTTTTAAGAAAAAAATTTTGATATTCGATATGAATTTGAGTAAAGCATACGTTATTTCCAACTCGATAAATGT